CCTCTCCAAAACCTGGACGACAATTCTAACTCTCCACTACCTGTTTGTTGGGGTGTCGGTGAGAAAAAGGGAACAGAAAAGTAAGGTAAGGGAAAGAGAAGGGGTAAGGTGAGGCAGAGGCAAACTGGAATACAGTTCACACAAAATGAAGCATGCATGCGGAGACACACAGGGCGGGGTGTGTGTGTGCGCAGTCCAGCTCACACAAAATGAAACATGCATGCGGAGACACACAGGGCGGGGTGTATGTGTGCAGTCCACTTCACACAAAATGAAGCATGCATGCAGAGACACACCAGGGTGCAAGGATGCTCTCACATCCCTGGTCCTAACAACAAACTCTTTTTCAGTGGTCCATTGTCAATCAATTAGCCAAGGCAACAGGGGTCTGTGAGATGGGGGTGCCTGGGGAAACAATGGGCCGCCCTGTGGTATTACTATTTAATCACTCTTACTAAATAAATAGAGCAGCCCTGAGGTGCTGTCATGTCAAGGGAATTTATAACAACAACAACAAAAACAACCCTTCATTTTTCCATTGGTCATTACCTTCTTTTCCCTTCAGGACAGAGAGGGTTATTACTGTAGCCTTAAGTTTCATCTTTGTGTTTCTTGGCTTTGATTCCCACTCGGACCCTGCCACTTTCTGGCACTAATTTGTCAGGCTCAACAAAGAGGGGATTTGTACCTCCTGTAAGGTCTCAATTAGGAATGGCTTCTGCTGTATTATGTGCCATTCAGAGGAGACACAATGCCGGTAATTACAGGAATTTGCACTAAATGGCTGAAGAATTCACAGCAAAACTCACCCCCTTGAGCCCCCCCTCCCCCCAGGCTGGAGGGGAAGAAAAAGGAAAGTAACAGCTCTCAATGCCAGAGATGCACAATCACCAACAGCAGTCCCCAGAGGTTAAACAGCAGCCAGGGAGCAAAACCATAAAAACAACGGTGGGAAAACGGTGCACACCTAGGTCCATTCTTCTTCCTTCCCACACTCCACTTCAGTTCCACTCATGGGCTCTGCCGAGTGGGACACCCAAACCACGTCCAGATTACAAAACAGTCCCACAAGGAACACTTCTGAAGGTGAGCTTTGCATCTCTGTCACAACTATAAAGTCCCAGGCTCTTCAAATTCTTGCACTCAATTGCTAGGTCTCAAGTGCTGGGAAGTTACTGTTGTGTGCTTGTACCAAGAAAACCATGCATCTGAGCACAAATAAGCAGACGCACATGTCGAATCCCTAAGGAAACAGGCATGCTGTCTGATAGTCTACTTTATAAAGCAGTTACGAATAACCAGATTTAGAACCTTTTATGGGTATGCACTCCTTCATAAATATTTTAATAAGCGGCACAATCATCTTTTAAGCATTAATATTTTGGCGTCACAGACTCCTCATTGTCAAATACAATTTTGAATTCCAGCCCATAATTTCAAAGAAGCACACCTCATCTTCTATTGCAGACGCTTTCCACAGAGGCCATATTAAAGCACCCCAAATAGCAGTACTGCGCACCTTGTCCAGCACATGCTGCCCTGCTCAAGAGTGCTGTGATGTCATGGTCCAACATGAGACTCAGCCTACAGAGTCCAGCACATGCTGCCCTGCTCAAGAACGCTGTGGTGTCATGGTCCAACATAAGATTCAGCCTACAGAGTCCAGCACATGCTGCCCCGCTCAAGAGCACTCTGAGATGTCATGGTCCAACATGAGACTCAGCCTACAGAGTCCAGCACATGCTGCCCTGCTCAAGAGCACTGTGATGTCATGGTCCAACATGAGACTCAGCCTACTGAGTGCCTTACTTATAGGCCAGAAATATGAGAGATGAGCAGTTTCACAGTCTTACCTGGCACCACCACTGAAGGCTGTGAATTGTTGTCATGGCTACTGTCTGGCAGTTACCAATGTGATCACTGCATCCATATTTCTGGGGCACTGACCCCAGGCACACAAGTGCCAGGCAAGCAGCAAATGATCAAATGCGCACAGGAATGGGTTTTCAGATGGCAGAAAGTAGAACTGGCAAGCTCGGGGGTCCCCGGGAGGCAAGCACGAACACGGTTAAGTTTCTGCCGCAAGAGCCTCCTAAGCAGCCGTGGAACTGAGGAGGAGGAAGCAATGCAGCTATCAAACAAAACGAAATCTAACTATCCTAAGTCTAAGCAGAAGGCAAGGAGTATGCCGTCGTGGACCAGCATACAGCTTCAGAACTAACCTCAGGTGTCCATTTTCTCCATGGGGACTCTCTAAAAACATTTGAAAGGATCCAGAGATTTCTTCACTTAGAGAAAGGATTTAGTGAAATGGGACAACTGTCCTGTTCTATATACATAAACGTCAGTATTGTGGCTCTTCTGAATCGCTAGTAATCAAATGACGTCAGAACAAAGAGCCTACTCAGGGCCCCCTTCTATGTAACACTGTTTGTTCAGAACATTTAAAGGGGGAAGGACTAAGCAGACATTGAAAACTTAACAATCTACACTAGAGATACACTAAAGCCATGGAGTTCTGTAAATTTGCTTCTCAACGTGCAATGCAGCTGCTTTTCCACAGAGTCTCTTGTCATAAGGAGGGTGACAGCATACAAGAAGCAGAGCAAGTGACTGAAATTAACAGTGCTAAGGTCATGTGCTACAGCAGTCTAACAAACTGCTCTGAGGGATTTTGAAAAAACATTCCGATTTGTTTATTAAGTTTTTGTTTTGTTTTTTTCTTTTGAGACTCTGCCCCCTACAGGACACACAGAATAATTTCCAACCCGAGGCAGAAAACCACTGTCCCTTCCGGTTTAGTACTGGAAATGAAGGTCTGTAAAACTACACCTATCAAGAAGCAGCTGAATATCACGCTCCCTGATGGAAAGAGGCAATGAAACAGAACTGATCTTACTTTAGAATGAGCTACACTATACATTACATGGTCTGACTTCCCGCACTTCCCTACTCAGCTATCGTGCAGCAAGCCAAATTTAACGAGCACCAAATTTCGACAGCCTAGGGATGTGTTCTACCACAGGGATCTGGGTGACGCTGCCAGAAAGTGCTATTCTTGCCCGTTATGCAATATTTTCCCTCTTCTACTTAGCTTCCTTCCTGCTGCCTCGTCTCTCTTTGCCTTTTCCTGTTTTTAATTGCTCCAACTTTTAGATGCACCTAGTTTGTTCTCAAATATTCCCTTCCCTCAATGCAAAACATGGGCAGTGCACTCTGCATTAGGGAGCAAACCGAGAGAAGCGTGGCAAGAACGAGCTAAATGGACAGCCCTGGCAGATGGCCCCAGCCGGTTTGCATTCTCTCACTACACAGTTTCTTAAAGCTATACTCTCTTGTCTTCCAACAGCAAGAGATTTATTGACCCTACGAGCAATCTAATGTCACACAAGTATATTATTAGTTTGGGAAGCCTATCTTCTAAGCAATTATTATTGAATGCCTGAATTCTGAAATGTAATAATATATGCACCAATGAGACCCTGAAACACTAACCATTTCTAAAATAAATAAAAAACAAGACAAATTAAATACACCAAACTACTAAAACTATTGCCCTCTTATTTTAAAACCACTTTCAAAAGTAGCTGGATGATTCATCACAAGGTCTAGTCTGTCATATGTATACACACACACACAGACACACACACACACACACACACACACACACACACACATACACACACACACACATACATACACTGGGTCAGTGTTTCTCCCAATGTGTTTTATTTTCTGAGACAGGTTTTCACTATGTATCCTAGACTGCCTTCAAACTGGCGATCCTCCTCTTTCAGCCTTCCAAGTGCTGGAAATACAGGTATGTGCTGCCACGTCTGGAGGTCCTGCTATTTCTGGCTCAGAGTTTCTCCTTTTGCCAATCCCATCTCTAAGTTCCTACTGCACAGTCATCGAGACCCTCCTTAAAGTCAACTACTTTCCAATAGAAAGGCGGTCACTGTGACTACACTGAATTTAAGGTGTGTGTTTTCTTCTGACCACCGCATGCTCTTTTTCAGTGCGGGAGTCAGAACATAAAACCTGCGCTTGGCTGGTGCTGAGCTTCTTGTTCATTTCTAAACAGCATACTTAAGTCTAAAACGCTTGACTTTAAAACTTCTCAATCAGGTTTCCAATTAAGTCTGTCTTTGTATTAAATTATCGTGACAAATCTGGGGGTTTAGCAAAGGTGGATTTTAATTCAGCTTACAGTAGATGGACAGAACAGAACACTGAAGCTCACAGAACAGCTCCAGGAACTCGGTTGGGCTTCCCCCTATGCCTCAGGCGTCATCTGCTGAATAATTCCCTCCCTTTAAGCCACCTCCACACTGTTTTCAGTGCTGACTTTCTGTAGATTCTACTGTTTCAGGAATTGACAAAGTCAACCTCAGCTGCCAGGTAGGAACATTTGCCTTGCCTAAAAAGCTACAATAGCTACTAGGACTTAACATTCTGTCATGAAACAATCTGTGACATACACAACTACAGTGACTTTTATTCAAGAAGGCAGAGGAAATGGGATCATGGCTGACTCAGGAAGCCTAAATTCCAGTCTGGTCAGGCTTTGGCCAAGTCGTTTTGACTCACTGACATTCCCCATGACTTCTATTTACTTTACCATCGAGTATTAGGATGGATGGTTTGGTTTGGTTTGGTTTAGGCTATTTCTGAGGCAAGGTCTCACACTGTAACACTGTAGCCCTGACAGACTCTTGATGTAGCCCCTGCTAGCTTTCAACTCAAGGCAATCCCATCTTAGCCACCTGTGGGCTCGTAGGATATTTTTTTTTGACAGGGCCTCCTCTCATTCTGTAGCCCTAGTTGGCCTTGATACCAGCAAATTTTTAATGAAGTATACTCCTTAGAGGAGAGATATTTTTTATGAACATGATTTTAACAATCATCTGTGACTGTCACATGAGGTTTAAAAACAAATTCCCACTGTAGAATTCAGGGATGCTCAGGCATGAGCTTGAGGCTGCAAATGTACTCCATACCTGCACATTTGAAACTCTGAGCCGTGAGTCCTCGCTCCAAAGACAGAGTTGTCAGGATGCTCAGGAAGCTGGTGGTCACGGACTGGCGTTTGTTCTTCCGCTGCTCATGGCCACCTATCTGATCCTTGGCTTTGTTCCTCAGCGTTACTTGCAGGTTTTGCTCAGAACTCCTTGCCGCGTTGGCCGCTGTCTTCAGAGCCTCCATCCATTCCTGTGCCCTCTGTCGGGTCTCAGCCCGGAGGCGAAGGACATCTTGGGGGAAAATGACTTGAAAGCAAGAGTCACAACCATCCAGGTTGTCTATCTGCACAGCCAGACATACATCCACATTGTAGCTCAACAAGGGATCCTCATCTAGCTTGCCAGGGTGGAAGGCCATAAGATAGGCCTTGCTCAGCACAAATGTAAATGCCTTCCAGTTATTTTGGACAGTCAATCTGTAGAGTGTCCCTGATTTGAGGATGTTTTGGTACTGTTTGGGGCTATCCAAGACAGGGGAGGACAGCAGCCCACTGGATTTCTTCTGTAAACAGTGGTTCTGTGTACAGTCAACATGATGACCAAGTCCTGGTGAGTTTGCCAGATCATCCTGCCGGCCCATGTAACTGGGCAGAGCAGCATGCACAACTTCCCAGAGCTTCTGCCCCCAGTCCAGGGCCTCCCACGGGGACTCTGCCTTTAGCTGCAGCTGAGAATTGTCATAGAGAACAGTGTCCACCACCCTGGCCTCGAGATTGCCTAGAACGGAAACGCTCTGGAAGTGTGAGAGCTGGTACGTGGCATGCAGGCTCTGATTCCCACTGCTGTCAAGGCTGTACAAGTGCAGGCCATAGGGTGAGAGTTCAGCGTAGCAGCTTTGCCAGTAACTGTCATGGTTCTTCCTGATCTCCAGATAACCCTTCTTCAGGATGTTTGGGAATGTCTGCTTGTGTTCTAGAAAGAGGAAAAGAAAAGCTAAAGTAATAACTATGAGAAGACAGGTACATGAAACCAACCACATTGGGGGCTGACATCTTTCTGATTCTGATTAAGCAAAGCAGGAATATTAAAATTAACTAACTGGCAGGATGTATCTGGGGATTCCTCACCCTAGGTGATGAGCAAGTGCACAAGGACATACAGAGTGTACACTATCAACGTGACAGCGGCCTGCGTGCAAACAAATGCTGGGAAAGCTGCGACCAGAACAGGTATCACACTGGCCAGGCTCCTCCCTTTCTAGGTGAATTCTGCAGAGTTCTAACCCACAAGAGAGAACTCCCATCACACAAGCCAATCCCTATTCCGTCTCTTTTTTCCTGGGCTCCTGACGCCAGAAAGGGAGAGCAGTGTGAACTGTGAGCTGATAAACTGTTCCTCAGGCAAGCCCGTCAGTCCTCCATCAGACCTGGGCCGTCTAGCCAGCATCATCTCTACCCTCAGGTCCACTACAATACCTCTGAGGTCTCACCTCAGGTGGCAGTTTTCTCTCTGAGTCGGACCCTGCTTATTCTGTGCCCTTGGCTTGCAAGGTTGCATCCCTCAGCTTCAGTCAGCGAGCACATACCGAACTTTCCTCCTGACTTCTCTTGCCTTCCCCCATGGCATCTGTAGACATAAATCCCTGGGTCAGCATCAGGTAGCCCTACTATATTAATCCTTTACCACAGGCTTCCATCAGACTATATTGTTGTAAGTTATTTAATGTCCAGACAAACAATACTTTATTTGTTTTTTAAAGTCTGTCTTTACTAATGGAGTAAGCTCTCTTTGCTCTAGCACAGCATATAGGACAATGCTTTATCAATACAGTAAGGGGTCCTTAGTAAGTAAAATATTTGTTAGGTGGGTACAGGTATATACTTGTAATCCTAGCAATGGGAAAACTGAGACAGGAGGATCACAAAGATCATGAGTCCGAAGCTAGCCTGCTACACACTGACCGCCATGCAAGCCTGTACTACAAAGCATGTATCTGTCTCAAATAACCGAAACTGAAAAACAAAAAAGAACAGTATTTGTTAGGTTAGAAATAAAGCTTCTAGCACAGCATCTGACACATGGGAGGACTAATTCCATCCCCAGTCTCTTTCCCCACTTCCTCTCCCTTGCACGTTTGTCTGGTCACAGCATCCTTAGGCCATGACAGTACGTGGATAAAAGGGACTGTAGTAGAGAGACTCATGAGAATTTGTTTCTTGAGAAAGGCTTTCATTTTGTAGCCAAGGCTGGCCTCAACCTCAAGATCCTTCTGCCTCAGCTTCCTGGGTGCTTACACCACAGGTAAGGACGACCGTGCCTCGTCTCCTGAGCCCTTGGTCTGCCATGACAGAATATCCATGCACGAGAATGGTAAAGAAGTAACCTGGTAGAAACTTTAATGTCTAAGTGGCTTCTCAATCTCTCTGCTGACACATTCTACAGACAGCCACAAACTGAAGATAGGTCACCCTTGGAGGAAGGAGGGAAGGAGGGGAGGAAGGAAGGAAGGCATAGCTAGCTCTCATTTTAAAACAGCAAACCAACAGAAGAAGGGAGAGAAAGGTGGTGGAGAAAGGCCTGTTTCAGCTGCTTTACATCCCTGGTCCTAATGTTAATTCATTACTATTTCTGTGTTAACTATAACGCCGTTAATTTCTCACAACCCATACTAATCCCTTTGTAGAAAGATAATGGATGCCTACTCTCTGGCAGGCACTTTCTCTCCTGACAATCAGGGGGGAGGCCGAGCTGTCAGAGGCACGATTGTCAGCTCCCCCCCCCCCCCAATCTCTGTCAGGCTGCCTTCCGCATAGCCAGTTCCTCTGATTCCTCCTGTGACCTGGCAGCTCAGCCGTGAGTCAAACAAGCTACCTCTCCTGCTTTTAGACAGAGATCGCCGCCTCTTCTTGCCTGAGAGCTTTTGACTGCAGCTATTGGGAATTAATTCCAAGTGTGACTATAACTGTGCTTGGCCCAGCAGCACATCAAGCCACGGTCTCACTCCTGCCTGAGGTGTGAGCTCAGATGTGGATGACAGGTCACGTGGAAAGGAACAAGAAGTCTCACTAGGAAATCTCCAGGGTATTAAAGCTAACGTGTGCTTCAACACTGTTTTCCCGCCCAGGAAGACCTTCCGTCTTTGCACTGAGAAAGCTGAGGCAGGAGAGCTACCATGTGTCTGGGGCCAGCCTGGGTTACACTGAGCCACCTAACAAGAGTCATGAGGACGGAGAAGGGGCCAGGAAGCTTCTGGGGAACCCAGTCCTTTCTCAGAGCAGGAATGCTTGTATCATATTTTTTTGGGTTTTGTGCTTGTATAATTAACATCGTTAATCATAGAGGTCTGGGGACTACCATGTCTCTCTCATTTCTGGCAACTACTACTTTCTATTGGATCTAAAGTATATTTTTAAATATTTTTGCTACTGAAAAATCAGGAAAAAAGATGTGTGTGTGTAATTTTGCCATAGTTGGAGTTTCTCCCTAGATCTTATCATTTTAACTCATTTAATTTACACATATATTTTAAAGTGCTTAATTTCACAAGAGAATTTCAATCTTAATGAACATAACTGGTTCAGATAGGATCACTAATAAGATTCACACCATTTTCCGAACCAAAAAAACAAACAAAAGAAAAAATGCAGACACATGCTCTAAACAAATCACCATCATCACTAACTTTCATGATGAATGACCGCCCAGAAACTCTCCATAAGAAAACTAAGCAGCTAGCAAGCCCCCGGCCACCTCACCTCTGATTCTCTGCCCAGCGCAGCTGCTTCAGGTCGTCCCTCTCCTCCCTGTTGACCACACAGGAATGGCACAAGGACCTGACTCTGCTGACGAAAGGGGAAGGGAGAATGTTCCCGGCAAGGCAGGCGCCAGATTCACTTCTGCATTCTCACCACCAGAGAATGGTCATTAGTTCCTTTTCATGGCCTCCACCTTCATCAGACTCAATCGGCCTCCTTCCTGGCTGTCTCACAGTTTTCCAAACTACGCTCTCTGTATCTCTCTCAGCCAAAACCCTGCACGCATCCCAAGGCACACTTACTCAGTCCACACTCCCAAGCTTGCCCTCCAGTGCATGCCATCATGGAGACTTCCGAACACACATGGAAAGGGAGCACCATCCAGTGTCGCAAACCACTGGTGTGCGGAGAGAGCTCCACACGGAAAGTGCAAACGAGGACCTGTGTAAAAAGCCAGGTAGGGGTGCACATCTGTAACCCCTGCACGTGGGGGCTAAGGACTCCAGGCTAGTCAATCCAGCCAAAACTGTGAGCTCCAGAGTCAGTGAGAAGCCTGACTCAAAAAACAAGGTAAAGAGAGACAGAAGGAGGCAGGCACGTGATGTTGTTGATCTCTGGTCTATACACACACACAAACACACAGGAGGAGAGTACATGCACAAACACACATGCATACTTATGTGTATATCCCCCACATACACACACACACACACACATACACACACTCACATATACACACACACACTCACATACATACACACACACACAGAGGAAAGTGTATCCACAAACACACTTGCACACATATTCACACCACACACAGACCCAGGAAAGTATAGTCACAAACATGAGTGCATACATATGCATACACTACCCAAACACACACACACACACACACACACACAGTTTCTAGTGTTAATGTTCTGTCACTTCTACCTCTCTCCAACTCTTGGTTTTTATTTCATTTTTCCCCTAGAATGTTTGAAAGTCAACTATTGGCACTACATCACTTCAACTATAAATACTTCAGGATGTATCTGCAAAAAAATCAAAATTTCAAATTCATTACATTATTTTCACAATCGCACATGAATAATCCATGTCTGTGGGGTATGGTCTGGCCTTGATAATTCTCTTTAGCATCTGTCACCCTCTCTCACACTTCATCCACAATCCTTCCTGTGTCTCCTAGATAAGCCATGTACATTCTAGCCTCAAGGCCTCGGAAGTTGCAATACTTTCTGAAATTTCTCCCTCTAGTTCTGATGCTTTATCTATTACCCTGCACCTTCACCTCCCCGGGAGATCACACTTACTGGGCAAAGGAAAGGAATATTCTCAGTCCTCTGTCACACCACTTCGCTGTATTTTCTGCCAAGAGCTGTGTCCTCCAAGGGCCTCTTTCTCCTCTACACCAGTGGCTGCTCTACCAACATCTGCCAATGTGTCAACAGGTACCTTGGCTACAATCTCCTATACTTACAACCCACAGCTGAGGCAATCAAATGGGTCTGAAAGGGAAGTTCACATTATGAAGCCCAAGGTGCTCAAAGCCTTGCAACAAGTACAGCGAATGGGTTCTGAACCTCAGAAGAGAGCTCCATCTGAGTAGCTCTGGTTAAGGCGTGGAGCGGAGGTGGACACCGAGGAAAGGATGGAGTTGGTTACTAAGCACAGGCAGAAAGGGGGAGTTGCACTCCAAATGGTGGGCCCTTCTTTCCTTATTGGTTTATACTCCATCTCTCCTCAAGTTGACCCCTACCTCACTTGATAAGGACGAGCAGAGCCACCTAACTGCTTTACACTCCCTCCCCAGAGTCTAGCTCTGAAGTCCAGGCTTCTTCCTGTCACAGCCTCCTGATGTGTTGGGCACATCGACTTCTTTAGTCCTCTGTCCAGCAATCACTATATGGATGCGCCATGGAAGCCTGAGGAGACCCAGTAAACTCCATTCCTCTTCTTCACCAAAGCTTCAAACCAACCAGACACCAGGTAGACAGACACATGAGGATAAAATGATCAGCTGCCTGGAGGACGCAGCTTGCGCTTGCAGCAACCGCGACCCTGGGATGACAGGGCAGTGTCACAAGGAGCCCGCGGGAGCCCAGCCCTTCCCTCCTGAGGGACTCACATGAAAGGAGACGGCACGCAAGAGCAGACCAGGAGCAGCACTGGGGCTTCCTGTGAGAGAGACTGCCACTTAGTTCCTCTCCTTAAGTT